TATCCAGCACCACACAGGTTCAGTTCAGCTGGGTGTTACAAGCTGACCACCAGTTGTCAATCCACCACATCCTTGTCGGGCCTCCCAGGCAACTGGGCCTTCAGGCATACACTGCCACACCAGACTCAGTGCTGGACATTTGGGTCCTTCGCTGATATATCCCACCCGAGATGTTAGGGTGGAAGAAGGAGGCACGACGTCAGAGAGGTACTAAACTCAGTGCTGGCAAAGTGAGGCCAAATTAAAATTTCCCTCAAGTATCTCCCACATCACCCAAAACACACTACACATGTGACTATGTGTAAAGACCTACACATTACCACATACAAATAAAAACGCACACCACAAGAACTTGAAAGCACAAGACAACCTAGGACGCAGCGCCTGAGGGTGCAAACAAAGAGCGGAGGCTGTCACAGCTGATGCAAATAAAGAGCAACAGCCCCGGCTGCCGCAAATGTTCGCTCTGACCCTGTGGTTTCGAGACTACAGCTGCCAAAACTCATCAACTACACAACCAAGAACACATTGTGCTGTTATGTAAATTATACTTCAATAAAACAAAATCGTGAAACAGTATACAGTGCTATATACAGTAAGAACCACTATCTAGTACAATGTACTGGAAGAAACCAGCTTTGTAACATCAAAGTGCAAGCCTGGAACTCAAATGCTGGTATAGAAGCCACATAAGTTATCTAAAATATCTAGTGATCTTAGTTCATATCACTGATAGGCCAGGCATGCTATCCCACCCCTAATGCCAGCACTCTGGAAGGCTGAGGCAGGAGGATCACAATTCTGAGTCCAGCTAGGGCAACTTAATGAGGTCTTTTCTCAAAAAAGCAAAATCAAAACCAAGCTATATTCCATGAGACACTAATAGCTACAGTGACTCCTCTGATGGATCTGGGCAAAATATACAGAAAACCATCGGAAAGGATTCACTATTCTAGATGCCACTAAAAAAAAACCTGTGCCTCATGGAAGGAGGTCAAAATACCCACACTAACAGGAATTTGAAAGATGTTGATTCCAACTCTCCTAGGTTACTTTGAGGGGTTCAAGAATCCAATGGAGAAGGTAACTACAGACATGGTGAAAGAGCGAGAGAAGCAAAAGCGGAGTCTGAAGATGTGACTGAACTGCTATAGTGTCACACAAAAAACTTAACAGGTAAGAAGAGTGTTCTCCTCTTTGTGGTGTAAGGATTGAACCTATTCCACAGCTGACCACAGTCTTGTCTTTTGGGGTTTTTTGTTGTTGTTGTTTTTCTTTTTTTTGAGAGACAGAGTCTAAAGCCAGGCATGGTAGCGCACGCTTGTAATTCCAGCACTTGGGAGGCTGGGGCTGAAAGATCACTGAAAGTTCAAGGCCAGCCTAGGCTACAAAGTGAGTTCAAGGCCAGCCTGAACTGCACAGTGAAACCCTGTCTCAAAAAGACATACTCCACAAAAAAAAAAAAAAAAAAAAATGAGAGGCAGAGTCTAAATTGCCCCAGCTGGCCTTGAAATTGCAATCCTCTGCCTCAGCCTCCTAAGTAGCTAGGACTACAGGTGTACAACACCATATTCAGCCAATAAAGTATTTTTAACTAAGGTATGTGTTATGGTTTGTATCTAGATGTTGCCCCACAGCCTCATGTAGTCATACATAGGGCTTTTTGGAAGTGACTAGATTTAGAGTATATGACACTGGGATCACAGATGTGATAGTGGGACTGATTCATGGTGTGCTGCTAGGATTAAAGGTACTTCATCCTGGGTATGAGTGTTGCCCGCCCAAAGGATGGGAAGCCTGGTTAGGATAGAAGGGACAGAAGGAGTGTTGATGCTTGTTGATTGCCACTTGCTACTTCACTGCTTTGCTGCCTTCTGCCCGCCAAGAACTGTTTCTCCTCTGCAATGCCCCTCTGCTGTGCCACCCTGCCTTGGAGCCAGCCAAATATGAACTTAAATCTCTACAAACTGTGAGCTACAATAAATCTTTCCTTTTTTTTTTGGTCTTTTTGAGACAGGGTCTCACTATGCAGTTCAGGTTGGCAATGAACTCACTTTGTAGCCCAGGCTGTCCTCAAACTCACAGCAATACTCCTGCCTCAACCTCCCAAGTGCTGGGACTACAGGCATATGTCACCATGCCTAGCTTAATCTTTCCTCTTTTAACTTTAGGTGTTGGGTATTTGTCTTAGCAATGAGGAAAGTAACTAGGACAGTATGTACATTGGTTTTTTTTTTTATATAATGCATGGCATGCTTAATATACTATAGTATAATAAAAACGTAACTTTCCATGCAGTGAGAAATTAAAAAATTTCTGTGACTCACTGTATTGCAATTTTCTCTTTATTGTAGTGGCCTAAAACTCTGTTAGTCAGGGCTTCTCTGCTTGCAGCCAGAAAACCAAAACCATTAGATCTCTGAGGCACGCCTGTATTTAATCATTTCTTTACTATAAAAATTCAGAATTCTCCCAGAATTTTGCCAAGGTAATGTTGGAATAAATAACCCTGAGGTCCACAATGCTACAGCCTCAAAATTTATGCTTCTCCACACATACACTCCCAAATTCCTGCACCGACTTATAAGCCCAAGGTGATGTGATTAGGCCACAACGGCTTTCCATGACTTGGCTTAGCGCCTGCCCAGGACAACCTCTCTGCTGGGCCACCCGGCCTTGGAGTGCACTCCATCACCCTCCACTATGTGAGCACACAATGAGCAGACACTGCCTCTGCCCACAACTCGATCTCTGGTCCCAGCCTGCACAACCATGAGCAATAAACTTTTGGTGTTTGTAACCCACCTGGGCTATGGTGTTTAGTTACAGCAGCCTAAACAAAGACAAACAGTTGTATCTATATTCCATCTCCATCCTCCTATGTAATAATTTTAATGACAAGCTGCTCACAGAAAGAACTCCAGGAAAATGCTCAGGGTTCCCTTGAATCTGGCTGAACCCATTCTGCACACAGGTAGAGCAATACTCCACATGCCAGGGATGAAACTGCTAGAACACAAACCTTAGCTCACACAGGGCAGAGATGACCAACTCTCCACCAGCCAGAATAGGCAGATCTCCCTGGACACCCTCAGCCGGCGTGTGCAACCCACCAGCAGCTCATGGCCCTGGACAGTGTGGCACGCAGACCTACAAGGCTCTAAGCTTTCACCTTGACATGATTTTTAGCACTCTTTCACGACTCGACGCTGCAGCATTCCAGCACCAACTCACTAGGCAACAACTGCACACTGGACGGGCTACAGTGCCTACTGTGCCTCCTGAGCCGGGAACACAGCTGGTGGGACCAAACCCACATGTAACAACAGATGTTCCATGCACTTGTGTGACTTTGGGACTAAAACTCAGCAATGACCAGTAACTGTCTACCTACACATATGTGGGTTAATAAACACAGCTTTTATTGTTATTACGCACACATGTAAGTTTTCTTATTTATTTAACTTGGGCTTGTGCTATTTTGTAAAATAATAAGCCGAGCATGGCGGCACAAGCCTATAATCACAGCCCTTGGAAGGCTGAGGCAGGAGGATTGACCAAGGCCAACTTGGGTCACAAAGTGAGTTCAAGGCCTGCTCAAATTACCTAACAAGATCTTCTCTCAAAATAAACAATAAATAAAATAATAAATCTGTATATAAAAAAGGAAGTTTTGTTACTTAGACACATTAAGTATATTGTATATCTTATATGTACCCCAAGCCTTGAATTAGAAGCGATCCTCCTGCCTCAGCCTTCCAAGTGCTGGGATTACAGGCATGTGCCACCATGCCCTGCCCCTGCTCCTTATTTTACAAGTCATTCTAAATTGTTAGCTACGAGTAAGACTCAAATATTCCATGAAAACAGCTCAGATAGTGGAAGGGGTGGGAAGAACAGAAGGGAAGTAGAAGGCTGGGGGTGCCAACCCATCAAAAAAAAAGCAGATTTTGCAAGAAGCAGACCCCAGGATCATGACTGTGCTGCAGACACTGCCGGCCCCTCCTGCTCTGACTGCAGGGAGCATACTGTGACCTCTGCAGAGTGCCTGGGAAACATGTTCTGCACATCAGTACAAGCACAGAACAGAACTTGAGTCAGGGAAACCCTGTGTCCTAATCTAGCTCTGTCACTCACTAGCTACCTGACCTTTGGCTCATTTAAAATGCACAAGAGAGGGGCTGGGGATTTAGCTCAGCAGCACAGCGCCTGCCTGGCAAGCACAAGGTCGTGAGTTTGATTCCTGATACCGGAAGAAAAAACAAAACAAAACAAAAACAAAAAAATGCACAAGAGGTCAGGTGTAGTACTGCACCCTTGTAATCCCAGCACTTGGGAGGCTGAGGCAGGAGGATGATCACCATGGGTTCAAGCCCAGAATAGAATACATAGACCCTGTCTCAAAAAAAAAAAACCCTAAAGATAAATAAATAAATAAATAAAAATAAAATCCACAAGAACCCTATGAGTTAGGCACTATTAGGATCACAGAAAAAGTTCTATTTGCCCAAGTCACTGCATTTGGGAAGTACCAGAAGCAGGATGTGAATCTAGGCCTCTGCAGGTACACATACCTTGGACACCATGCGCACACATCCTAGAGTATTCCTTGCAGGAAAAAGAGCATAAAAAATCAAGATGGTATGCACAAGACCCTGGGTTCAATCTCTTGTATTAAAAAAAAAGAAAGAAAGAAAATGGAGATGCTGAAACCCCTACACACAAATAATGTAAGGTCTGGGGGGACCCTCATTTTGGCTCTGACCCTCAACTGGCTGCATAGATCGTTACTGTTCCTCCCAGGGAGAAAAAGGAAGCAGACCGAAGCCAACTGAGTCCCCGTCCTACACAACTGAAGGACTGTAACCGCAATTTACAAAGACAGAGCTGAATAATGCTAAGATAAAGAACCAGTGCTTCACAGTGAGACCAATTACAAACAAACTCAACCACCAGATGCCAGGGGAGAGAGACAAAAGCTGCAGAGGAGCAATTCCTACCTGGGTAGCTCTGAGGGCTCTGGGGGGGCTTCAGCAGCACTGGCAATGGCTCCTGAGGGTTCTACTTCCTCCGAGCCCTGGACCCCCTCCTGCTCAACCACCTGCGGGGCCGGCGGCTGCACGTTCTCTACTTCCTGAGGCCCAGTCGACTCCGTGGCAGAGTCGATCTCTATTTCCTGAACTGGGGCAGGGACGGGTTCCTTCCCAGCAGCAGCGGTCCCCACAGCCTTGGCCTCCTCTTCTTCCTTTTTTCTGATTTTCTCTTCAAGTTCTTTCCTCCTCTTTTCATCATCTTGACGGGCCATGTGATCGAAGGTTTTAAATACCTAAAACCAAACAGCAATCCAGCCATCAGTTCACTTGCCTGGTACTGCACCACACGTTCTCGAGAAATGTAGAATCTGGTAAGTACAGAATTAAAAAGTGGTCAACAACAACAACAGAAAAAAACTTTGCCTTTCGCAAAATGGAAATGCACCATAACTTTACCAAAACCGGATAGGAAAATCTTCTGTAGAAAGGTTCCAAAATCAAAAGCAACCAAGGCTAACACCATATACATGCCTAAGGACATACAGCTAGATAGTCTTTTTTTTTTTTTGCTACTGGGAACTGAACACAGGACCTAGTGCTTGCCAAACAGGCGCTGTGCTGCTGAGCTGCATCCCTGGCCCTAGATCATCTTAACTCACATCATGTTTACAGGCCCAATCTTGCTCACAATGCAAACAACACAATGTCCCGGTACCATGGGCTTGTGAAGATGCCAACAACTCACATTCAAAAACAAAAGGTGAAAACATAGTTGAACTTCAACCCATGAAATGCACCCAGGCTTCCCAGGCAGCTGCTGCCCTTCCCACACTGTGAGGGTGAAGGACAGCCAGGGGCATTCAGTCCCACAAGTGTCCACCAAGCACTAACATTGTGTAGGGGAGCCGGGCGTGGTGGCACATGCCTGTATGTGCCACCAGCACTCGGGAGGCTGAGGCAGGAGGATCGTTGGGTTGGGAGTTCGAGGCCAGTCTCGGCTACAAAGTGAGCTCAAGGCCAGCCTGAATTGCATAGCCAGACCCTGTCTCAAAAAAAAAAAGAAGCAGCAGCAAGAGCCAGGCATGGTGACACATGCTTGCGATCCCAGCACTCGAGAGGCTGAGGCGGAAGGATAGCTGTGAGTTCAAGTCCAATCTGGGCTACAGTATAGTGAGTTCAAATCCATCCTGAACTACACAGCGAGACTCTGTCTCAACAATACATAAATAAGGCAGCAAAACTACCTGCGGTAGCTGGAAGCAGACAAGGATGTCAACCTGGCAACTGGGCAGGAGGGCTAGGCTGCAGCAGGTATCCAGGAACAGTGTCTGTCCACTGCCCAGGAGAAAAGGGAACCAAAGATGAGTGCTGACACATGAACTGCACCAAATGCTTTTATAAACACTCTCAAACCCTCACAAGAATCCTGTGGAAAAGAGCATCAACACTGCAAAGATGAGAAAAAAATTCGGCTTGAAAAGGTCTGGTAACTTGCCCACAATGCTATCAAGTGACCGAAAACAGTAAAAATTACATCTAACACAGCAGAGAGTGAAAGGCAACACAGGCAAAGGAAAACAGAGTCCGAAAAGGTTAAAACCTGGAAACCCCTGGTCCATTTCTATGCCCAGACAACAGGAAGCCCTAACTTGCTTGTTGTCTGCATCCATGCAGAGCCACCCCACCCCACCCATGCCCCTGATCTTCACCTAACTCCAAAAGCGAAGCCAGCAGGGCTCCCTCTCAGACCCTGAGGCTTCTAACACAGGCGCCCCCATGACCTGCTGCTACTTGGCACCCCAGCCTCCTCTGACCTGCCCCCCACAATTCGTAGGAGCTCTTAGTCACCACCACCCTCAGCACTGTGAGCACACTCTCAGTACTCAGTCCAGTCACACATTCCTGGGCTGGAACAGATTCCTAGAGCCACCACTCACCTCCTCAGCTGACACGAGAAGTGGCTCTCGCAAGACATCCCAGCAAGTCACATGAGGAACAGGATACAACTGGCTTCTAGGGGCTCTCCACAGAGACTTTACTAAGCAGCACCTCTCAAACTGGACTCCAGGATAAACAGAGCTATCAACTGTAATGAACGACAACTCAAATCTAAATGACTTTCCCTTAAAATACGCTGCAGTACTGCAGGATGAGATGCAATTTCCACACCCACCACTCCTGCTGAGGGTCCGTCACACTGTGCAGGCAGGCTGTGTGCGCCCCCAGAACCAGCAGACAAGCGTGAGATGCCTTACACCAACTACACCCACGACCACTCCCCAAGACACCAGGGGGAAGCTTTCCAGCTCCAGAAAGCAGCAGCCCAACCCTCCCGTCCCAGCCCTCTCCGCTGGTGTTCAGAGATCCCAAGCATCCCCGCTCAGGTGAGGGGGCCACAGGAAGAGTCTTATACCACGGAATCAGGAACGTAAAAAACCCTAAGGGGGTGGGGGCCTAGAAAAAGTGTTTCTGCCCTACAATGGAGCAGTTAAAGGACAGCAAGATTAGCAATCAGAAAAATGAAGTTTTGAGTTCCAGCCCTGGGTTCTTGGCACATCATTTAACCTTGCTGAACTGGTACAGAAAACCCAACCTTATCTATCTCGCAGAGACACTGTGACCATCAAGCAGCAAGCCGTCACCAAAGTGCAGTAAGGTCCCGCCAACCTCCACCTCTGACAGCTCTCATCACGCACGTGGCGCTTGAGCCACTGAGGCAGAGGGGGAATGGCCGTCGGTTTTGAGGTTGAACTGCAAGGGAGCCCCATGGCCACCCCTCTGACCGTCATTTTGCTGGTAGTTACTGGACAGTTCTAAACTTTCCCAGCTTCCTGCAGGCACTGAGTAAAGTAACACCTGATCATCCCACAGCCTGTAATGACACTTGGGAACGTAACATGAAGCACTTCACAGGTGCCAGAGAACTGCACGAAGAATCACCAACGTTTCTGTCTTCTCGGGTTCCTACAAATAGCCTCACAGCTCAGCGGAATACTTTCTTTCGGTCTCATCAGAATTCCCACGAAACATTCTCAATTTTTCAACTATCATTTCTATCTCTTTCCTTCCCAACCCACTCACTCTATCACAGAAGTGGCCCTGCGGAGTTCTTTTATTTTCTATGTTTTATTTTTCCTTAACTGTGTCACGAGTACAGAGACCATTCTTTAAACACCCACATCATCCTGTGGCAGCTGAAAGGATAAAATACACGCTTACTTATTACTGAATTCAAAAGTACCCAGGCAACTTCATTCAATAAATACTAACAGCGCTTCCAACATAAAAAAAAAAAATTAACCTGGGATGAAAAGATTTACATCCAAATGTAAATTTCATCACCACGACCAGGTCTCGCCTGCACCTCGCAAGTCACGTCGGAAAGAGCGGCCACACCCACCGATCGGCACAAAGCCTCGGCCATCCCGGCCCCTCCGGAACCGGGCAGCTCTGGGGCGCGCAGGTGGCGGCCTCTGGGAGCGCCCCTCCTCTCCTCCCTCAGCCCCGGGAGCCCGGCAGAGGGCCGGGCCGCGGCCACCGCGGAGCTCCTGGATGTCTGATCGCGCTTCACATCACACCCTGCGACCTGCGCGGGGTCGCCGCCGCGACTCTAGGGGGAACGCGAAGAGCGGCGGGGCGGGAGCAGCAAGCGCGGGGTGCGGGCGCAGGCCGGC